GCATATCCTACGGCTTGGATTTTCAAGTTAGGATAGTTAAAAAAAAAAAACCTATAAAATTAAAATCTGTGATCTCAAAATAATCTGTGACTTACAAAAATTTTTATCTGTGACACGGAAATAATACGTGACCTACAAAAATTTTTATCTGTGACCGCGAAATAATCCGTGACCTACAAAATTTTTGATCTGTAACGTCGAAAAAGTCGTCGGAGTAGTCGCCGATCACCAGAGTAGTCGTCGGAGTAGAGGTGGTAATGGAATGGGTTAATTATATTATATTACAGTTTAATATTTAATTTAATATAATAATTGTGAAATATAGTTAATTAATTTATGAAAAACCTGATTTTTGCAATTCTAAACCTTGAGATCTGATTTTTGATTTTGAGATAGATAAAACCTGAATTGTAAATTTTTCTCTTTTTCTCTTCACTTCATTTTATATAATCCATTATTTATCGTACGAGTAGCCTAACGGCTCACATGGACATAATGAGACTCAAGTCCAAACCCGAAAACAGACTAAACGGCCCATGTTGAAGCCCTAGCTCCTCCAGCTTCCCTCTCTCCTCAAAACTTCAATACAAAATTGGGATTAGGGTTCAGATCTTTTAAAGTTTGGATCTTCAATACTGTAATTCTAGAAGAATTGAATTAAAGTTTGGAATGGGCAAGAAAGAGAAGAAGGTGAGAGCAGCAAAAACTGAAGAAGTTTCGTCACCCGAGGAAGAAAAAGGAAGGGTGAAAACTCCAATTGAAGAAGTGAGTACGGATGATGATGAAGAGGCCAATGAAGACCTGAGTTTGAAAATCGTTCAAAGAGCCATGCTACGAGCATGTAATGGAGATCCCCAAAAAGAGGGGGTTTCTGAAATTGTTACGAATTTAAAGGACGAGAAAAAGAAAAAGAAGAAAAAAGAGAAGAAAAAGAAAAAGAAGAGCAGTGAAACGGAAGCCCTCCCAGAAGATGCCGTAAGTATTGAGCTTAGATTGATTTAGCAGGAAAAACAAAATCTTGGTTTTTTATCCGGAATTTAATTGGTGAGCTATCTGCCAATAGAGAGAAAAAATTGGTTAATGTCTTAGCCAGTAATTTATTGCAATTTATAATTTTGGCCTTTCTACTTTTTTATCTATCGTTTGATTCAGGATTCAAGTGAATTAGATGCGGGTTTCAAAAACTTTTGAGGCGAATTGTTCCCGATAGTACGAACCATACATGGTCTTTTATATGTTACTCCATTGCTGAATTATATTTTTATTTTTATTCTGGGAGAGCACATTGAATGCGCAGTTCAACAGTTAACTTAAGCAATATGTTAATTTAAAATAGGCAATTTCTCCGTGTATATCAACATAAGGCTTGGGAGGGTATATATTTATAGTATAAGATAACTATGATGCTGTCTAAGAATGAAATGCTACCAGGAAAGCACGAGAGACTTAACAAAAGAAATTTTCCATTATTAATGATAACTTCACATCTACATATTCTTGGAGAAATTTCTTGACTGGAAAATGCCCTTGGAGACAAATTTTCTTCTTTGATCATATATATTCCATAGTTAAAATGTTTTTTCATTATTACATTTCTTTTCTCTCCAATTGAAATATATAGTGCTTTAAAGTTGCAAAAACTTCTTTTCTTTATTAGCAGGTGCCTTGAGATATTAGCTTTTCTTATGGTTCTTTCATTCTTTTTGACTGTTGTAGGAGGATCATGAAAAGGATGAAGAGAAGTCTGGGACTGACAAAGCTACTGAGATTGCTTATAAAGCAGTTGATGCGAATTCTGCTGAGATGTCAGATAATGCTGTCCTGAGGAAGCTTCTTGTGAGTTGAAGTAATTTGTTTACAAGTATCGTATTTAAGATATCCAAACATTCCATTCAAAAAGGCTTAGTTCGGGGTCTCTGTTTATTATACGTTGTTGTGACTTCAGCGGGGGCCTAGGTACTTTGATCCTCCGGACAGTTGGGGAACATGCTATAATTGTGGTGAAGAGGGTCATACAGCTATCAACTGTACTTCAGAAAGGCGCAAGAAGCCTTGCTTTGTTTGTGGGAGTTTAGAACATAATGCCAAGCAATGTTCCAAGGTGTGTGGCCTGATAATTTATTAGTTGACAGATTTTACAGATTTGCTTTCTGTCTCATTCTGGTTCTTGTTGCAACTTATATTAAATTCCCACATGCTATATGTTTACTTGTGCTTGTTCCTATGGGAAAAAAAGGACCTCTCAATTTCGTATAGACGTTTGGTTCAAAGTAATATCACCTCAGTACTAGAATGCTTGCTGGGTGATGGTGGTTTTGACCTTTCTTCCCCCTTTTCTTTTCTATTGAGTAAAACTGAAATAACTTGGCATCATTTAAATGTTGAACATTGAGAAGGGAGCAAACATGCTACTGGTATGTATGTAATGTAGTGCAAAAGATGGATTTCTAGTTGCCCGCAGATGATGTCCTTATTGTGTAGTGGCTGAAAAATCTAGTTGAGTGACACATGATGGCTTTATATACATTTCCGAAAACGTAATATTTTAATTAGTTTATGAGAGCTGCTGTCTGGACACAGATGCCTAAAGTCAATAAAGAGATGAAGATGGGTGGTCTCTTTTCTCTGAAAGTTTTTGAACTGTAGAGCAGATTTCTATGTGGCAGAGTTTTCCCAAACTGAAACCTTTTTGGAATAATCATTGATAGAGTAAGCACTCTTGCTTTGTAATTTGGGGTGGTTGTCTATAAGAAGTTTTGGTTCTTGTAGGAACATGAAGTTGGCGACTTTACTCAATTGTTATTCTGTAGAGAAATGTACGGGATGTCATTTTCGAAAATATTGCAAATATAAAGCCGGGAAATTCATTACAATATATTGTAGGTTGTGAAAATAATGATTGTAATAGCTTGCTGCAGACTGGTGAATGATGTCCATAAAATCATGCCAAGTAATTTACTTTTTCTTTTTTTGTGGAAGTCTTATTGTATTCATGCACATCGATACCGCAGTTCATAGAATCCACTGTTTATAAATGATCTCTAATGATCTTGTGAATGGAATAAACAATATTTAACTTCTGAACATGAATATCTTATGCTTTTTATTTGGTCTGCTTTGCTGGTATTTTGCCCTTGTTCGATCCCCATTATTTTCAAAATACATTTTTCTCTCTCTTAAATTAGACCACACATTCTTCAATAAAATAATATTACACACAAACGCAAAACATTTCCTTATTTTTTTATCACACATTCTCCATAAATCTACTGTTCCAAAATGCATCTTAGCCAAAAATGGGGCTCAAACAAGCTCTTTATTATATTTTTGTCCTGTACAAGGCTTCCTCTGGATTTTAATTTTCTGTTCTTTCTTTCTTAATTAAACAGGGACAAGAATGCTTCATCTGCAAACAACAGGGTCATCGTGCAAGAGATTGCCTTGAGAAAAGCAGAGTGGAGTCCTGGAGTTCTAAGATGTGTTTAAAATGTGGAGAGTCTGGACATGATATGTTTTCATGTAGAAATGACTATTCTCCCGATGATCTCAAGGTTTGTGAATCTTCTGTTGTTTGAATTTGTATTGATTGTATATTTTACCGTTCTCGAGGATGTTTAAGCGTTGCTGAATATATATGAATGTGCTCCTTGATTTTATTGTTTGACATATTATGTTTAATTTTTTCACCATTCCTTTTGATCTTTGCAGGAAATGCAGTGTTACATTTGCCAAAAGTTTGGCCATATGTGTTGTGTAAACTATACTGATCTCACACCAAGAGAGGTCTCCTGTTATCGATGTGGTCTATTGGGCCATATTGGTTTGGTGAGTTTACATGATGTTATTGGTTTAGGTTTGGTGAGTTTACATGATGTTATTGGTTTAGTTCTTAAGGTCACTGATTTATTTGGAAGATAGAACATTTAGAACTCAAATTTAGTACTTGTTTGGGAGAAATTATAATCTCATTATAATTTGAAGTCAAATTTAAACATTGATTATATCTACACATTCACACCTATTACCTACTTATTATCCACACATTTCGTGGGACCCAATATTCTTTTTCGTTGTAATCCCATTATAATCTCTCCCAAACAAGCACTTAATGTAGTATACAATTATTCAGCAGTTAAATCATTTACTGTAATGTCGTCTATAGTGTTAGTTTTAGGGTGAAACTGTAGTTAACTTTTATGTTCTTGTTTGATATGCTTTGCGAGTAGCCAGTCACTAAAATATCAAGTCGCAAACTCTTACGACTTTCTGTATATTGCCAGTTTAGAGTAGGATCTAAAGAAAAACATACTCTTAATATTCTTAAGGACAATTCATGAGCTCTTGAGTCAGCTGCGCCAGTTTTCTTTATGAATTTAAATCTTTTGAGGGGAGGATTGTAGCTGGAGGGCTGGGGAGATGGGTTTGAGAATTGGCTACAAGATGCATCTTATAGTCTTGTTTAGCTGCATTCCTTGCTGCACTCTGAGTAGTTATCCTTCTTGATATGCATATCATTACACTGGGCATGTTGAACACATCCCACCTATTTACACGGGATGTTGTCTTTACATGAGTGGACAGTGTTCTATATATCTCATGTCACAATCTCAACGACCAGGAGGACTACTTCGAGTGTAGCTAGGGACCGAACTAAAGGAAGTAGAATCTTTGGCAATACGAGCATCTTCAATTTCATTTCGCTTGCTGTTTGATTTGCGAGGTTCCTTGCATCCTCTATTGCCCGATCAGTTAGTTTCTTTTTCTTATTTATGCAGGCTTGTACAGGGTCCCGTGGGGATACAACTGTTACTGGATGGGATAATTCATGCTACAGGTGTGGGGAAGTGGGGCATTTTGCTCGTGAATGTATCACCTCAACAAAAGTATGTTTAATTCCATGTTGGGCCTTTCATGATTCTTTCCTCTTAATTATGTCTTTTCGCAAACTCTGAAGTCCATCTGTTGTCTTATCTCTGACGGGGAACCTTGTCTTTATCTGTTTTCTCATAGGCTTTCAAGAGAAATCATGAATTTTCGACCCCCAAGCAGAAATTTTCTAAGAAGAATAGAGATCTCAGTGAAGTTAAATATGCTTCTCATGATCTTGGCAAGAGATATAAAAGAGAGACCCAATATGAAGGAGGATACGCATCAGCTTCAAATGCAAAACATAGAGGTGGTTGGATCACTGAAGACCCTGGAGATTATCGTAGCAATAAATACGAAGAAGATAACTGGAGATCTCCTGCAACACCGAGTCACAAAAGAGCCAAGATTTTTAACTCAACCGACGAGGGTGCTTCAAATTCTCATTCTTCAAAATATCCCCGTAAGCATCATTTTAGTAATTCAGCCTCAAACGGGTTGGCCAAGTTTTATAAGCAGCGGTTTTCTGCCTCGCGTTTTGGCAACAGCAGTTATGATGGGACGAGAAGAGATTATGGTTGGCGATAATGGAGTATACAATCCCAAGAATGCTGGTTTGGGCATTTGTTGCATCTGGACGTCTGCTCGGAGAAGACAATGCAACTATTCTTTGCCTTTTGGGAGATCATATCTTATGGATTCTTTAGGTGGCTCAATAGAAAGTCGAGTCAACTTGGTCCGTGCTTAAATTAGATATCAAGGAAATATCCTGGAGTTCGCGCGATATCTAACTTAACACTAGCCTTGCATTCTCCCCTCAATTTTTTCGCCGTTTTATTGTACTATATTTCTGCCTGCAATGTGTTTTTGAAATGCTCGTGCCAACAGGCATCTTACTGTATTGTCGTAGTGAGTGATTTCCATAATTTGTATTTTTATCCCGTTTTCCAGGCTCTTTGGATATTAGTAAGTCAGTACCCATTTCTATAGTTTATATTTATCTTCTACAGTGTATAGAATGTGTTCATCTTTGAGCAACATACGTTGGACACGTCTGTACTAATCATATTTTGTTTTTGTCCAAAATACCCTTGATTTCAAATTTAAAAACATTGATCATGTAATGATGAAGAATTGAAATTTTAATTAATTTATGAAAATTAATTGCTTAGTGGGAAAGTCCTTAAAATATGTATTATAATCTGAGAATATATTTCTTTTAATAATAATAATTTCTCGGCTATCAAAATGTCTTTAAATATGTGTTTGGCAAATATATTTGAAAATTGTTTAATGGATAATTTTTGAGTCAATAATATTTGAAAACAATGTGTACTAATTAATGAACAGTTTAAAATTAAATTGCAATAAAAAAAAGTTGTGATATAAATATGAAATTAAGTAAAAATTAAAATATTTAATATAATTAAAATCGAGTGCACTTATTAGAAACAATATGAGTTAATTTCACAAGTGGTCATTGAAGATACCTGAAACTTACAAAACGATCACTGAAGTTTAAAACTTACAAAAACGGTCACTGAAGTTTAAATTTCTTTCACAAACGGTCACTGAATTTTTAAATTTTTTGGACGAGTTTTGCTGCGATTTTCTGGTAATTTCCGACCACCAAGACTGCCGAATTTGGATACCGTTGGAAAGCCCACAATGGCCTCTTCAATTACCACCAAAAATCTCCCCATAACCCTAAGGGATTCAGCGGAAATATATCCACGAAGTCGGCTACCGAATAATATAAAAATCTGTCCAGATTTTCAGATTTTTTGGGCAAGTTTGAGGCAATTTTTCGGCAACTTCCGACCACCAAAACCGTCGATTTCGGATACCATTGGAAAGCCCACAATGTCCTCTTCAATTAGCACCAAAAATCTCCCCAAAACTCCAAGTGATTCGGCCGGAATAAACCCACGAAGTCAGCTACCCNAGCTGATTTCGTGGGTTTATTCCGGCCTAATCCCTTGGAGTTATGGGGAGATTTTTGGTGGTAATTGAAGAGGATATTGTGGGCTTTCCAACGGTATCCGAAATCGACGGTATTGGTGGTCGGAAGTTGCCAGAAAATTACCGCAAACTCGCCCAAAAAATCTGAAAATTTGGGCAGATTTTCAGATTTTTCGGTGGCCGACTTCGTGGGTATATTTCAGCCGAATCCCTTGGAGTTATGGGCAGATTTTTGGTGGTAATTAAAGAGGACATTGTGGACTTTCCAACGGTATCCAAGTCCGAAGGTCTTGGTAGTCGGAAGTTGCCGAAAAATCGCCACAAAACTGCCCAAAAAATATGAAAATTCAGTGACCGTTCGTGAAAGAAATTTAAACTTCGATGACCATTTCTGCATGTTTTAAACTTCGGTGACCGTTTTGTAATTTTCAGGTAACTTCAGTGACCGTTTGTGAAATTAACCCGAAACAAAATTATAAATATAGCCAACATCCTCGTATTTCATGAATCCTATATTTTTCAATTTCATCATAAATTATTCTTTAGACACATCTGATCGCAATTATTGAGTGTTCGTAGTGACCGAAGAGATCAAAGACCACTATATACGATATAAAATCTACGATGGTTGGCTCGAATGTTTACTATTAAGTGTTTATATAAATACAATAGGGACTATCAGTGCAAGTCAACTGAATGCCGTGATTGATGAGTGGATAGATGATTTAGGTGCACCTCCTACCAAGTGGGAATTAATGAGGCTAGTCCTTGTCTACTGGTGGGGAAGGTCATAGTGAAATAAATTTTGCTACTTTATCATATGAATCTTAGGACGTGTCTGGGAACGATTAAAATCAGCAAGAAATGGGTTTTTGGACCCTTTTTTCGAACTTGTTGCAATGCCATGACATAAAGAGTCAAATATTGTGGGCAGCAACGACTCTAATTTTGTTGATAATCGTTCCTAGACACGCCCTTAATATCTTCTTTGACATATGCATAAATAGATGAAAATGATGACACTGTATAAAACAATCCAATGAGAAACTGTCATGTAGTATTATGTCAACCTATCCGTCAACAAAGATGACACTATAGCTTGATTGTAGTGAAAACAGTAAGCTGGAAAGTAGTCGCCCCACTTTGATTTGCACATCCCCATCCCCTGTCGTGAGACATCTAATCGAAGACGCACTGCTACTATAGGAATTACTTTTGCCTTTTTTTTCCCCTCTAGTTACTAAGATGCTTCAATTCGTTAGGTTGTCTCTTGCTTGCCTATGGATTTAGTATCAGTTCGAAAAGATAGCCCTATTTTGAGATTCTCTGAATCTATGCTTATTTTCAATTCGCCAAAGAATTTTGTCGATTACTTTGCCATTCCTCGTCTCTGGGCGCTGCCTTAGCCCTGTCCTACTATCTGTATAACGGAGTTCGTCATTTATTGGCTGATTTTTCTGGATTTGAAAGAAAAAAGATTGAAATGATCGTTCAAAATTGGATTCTCACATATTTAAATTTAAAGAACGAATTTCTCCTTTCTCATGAAATTATTATATTATCGTTGATAGGTTTCTTCTTTAAAGCTTATTTCGTAGAGGCGGACATCAAGCTATTGTACAGTTCGAGCAGACAAATGGCTAGCAAGGCCGAGGAACATTGATGAAGGGGACGACAGAAGTTTCACCTGAACATGACCATGAGGTTTTTTTTCAATGATTTTATTTAATTTATGTTAAGACTAATGTGAAAAAATATATATAGAGGGAAATTTATTTCGAGCTTGCTAAAATTAAATTTTAGCATGATTGTCTCGAGGAAACTGAAAACCCAAGGATGTGTGGACAGTTCATCTTATCATTGGTACTTACCTCATAGATGGAAAAAATATTTCAATATTTGAAGATTGATCATTAATAATTTTCATTGACCTGGCCAACTTGTATTTATTACTCCCTCCATCCCGTTTATGTAGGCTGATTTTCTTTATTTTCTTGTCTCAATTATATAGTCTTGCTTCTTTATAAAGAATGTTCTGTTTTGTTCGTTTACCAATATACCCTTATTTCATCACTACTTTCAATAATAAATTACCATTTGTTATTGATAATTAAATGATGGTAAACTATGAAAGTTTTTGGCAAAAATTGCTTTTCCAATAACATCAATAAAATTTTTTAATTCGTGTGAAAAACAAAACAAACTTATATAAATGGGACGGAGGAAATATGCAAGTTTAGCAGAAACGTTTTACCAAATTTGAATAGATTCTACTCTTGAATAGGGAGGATAGACAGTTTTCTAATTTTTTTCCATTGTAGTGTCCAAGCATAATATTTCATATTGAACGAGAATATGTTTAGTGCTTCTCGGCTCTTCAAGATTAAATGACCAAGTGTGCTTTCTGGCGTTGCAATGGGTAAGGGATCTTACACAAACAAGTTACTAATCAGGTAAGAGTGAATAGAAGATAAAAATTCTCCATAGATGAGACCGAGTTCACATCAC